CTTCTTAAGAAGTGTCTTATTTGTCTGACTCTTTGCCTTGCAGTGTTTCCCAAAGTATGGTACGCGTACCACCAGGGGTGCGGGAAGAGTTTGGTGGGGATACGCATTGCACCGGAGTTTGGTGGGGATATGCACTGCACCGTGCTTAACTGCGCCTAATTCTGCGTTCTCATGAGTACGAGGGGTACTCAGCATTACGAAAATTATAGAAGGGGTACACAATATGTCAAAAATTTGGGAAACACTCCTTATTGGATTAAACTCTGTCAGATTGCCACAGATACTTCTTCCAGAGAAGTATGGTTCAGTAAGTGATCTGGTTCAGTAAGTGATCATGGATGGGGCTTGGGATATAGCAAGTCCTCGAATAAGATGTCTTTCCATTCAAAGTTGTTTCTTTGAGAAACAACTGAGATGGCAGCCTCTCACTCTCCTTTGTTATGCTTGGTTCTTCTTGCTCCGAAATAACTTAACTCTTTTTTTAAAAAAATTCTTTATTGATTAAGTAATTACATATGTGTCCTTGTCTTTTCATTACTCCTCCTCATCTCCCCCACCCCTCCACTCATGCCCTCACCCCCTGTGTCCATTGGTTAGGCCTATATGCATGCATACAAATCTTTTGGTTTATCTCTCCCCTTTACCCCCACCCTCCCCTACCTTTCATCTGAAGTTTGACTGTCTGATCCATGTTTCTCTGTCTCTGGATCTGTTTTTGTTCATCGGTTTATGTTGTTCATTATATGTCCATTATTTTGCTTAGCATAATGCTTTTCAGTTCCAAATGGTACTGTTGCAAATGTTAAAAGTTTCTTTTTTTATAGCGGCATAGTATTCTATTGTGTAGATATACCACAGTTTTTTAATCCACTCATCTACTGATGGGCACTTAGATTGTTTAAAATACCAATGGCATATTTCACAGACATAAAACAAACTTTCCAAAAATTCATCTGGAATAAAAAAAGACCCCGAATAGCTGCAGCAATCCTGAGGAAGAAGAACAAAGTAGGTGGGATTTCAATACCGGATATCAAGCTGTATTACAAAGCCACTGTTCTTAAAACAGCCTGGTACTGGCACAAGAACAAACACAAATCAATGAAACAAAATAGAGAACCCAGAAATTGACCCAAACCACTATGTTCAACTAATATTCAACAAAGGAGGCATGAACATACAATGGAGTCAAGACAGCCTCTTCAATAAATTGTAATGGGAAAATTGGACAGATACATGCAAAAAAATGAAACTAGACCACCAACTTACACCATACACAAAAATAAACTCAAAATGGGTAAACGACTTAAACATAAGACGGGAAACCATGAAAATACTAGAGGAACACACAGGTAGCAAAATCTCAGACATATGGGGAAGCAGTTTCTTCTCCAATACTGCTCCTAGGGCAATGGAAACCAAAGAGAAAATAAACAAACGGGACTACATCAAAATAAAAAGCTTTTTCACAGCAAAAGAAACCATCAACAAAACAACAAGAAAGCTCACTGCACAGGAGAACATATTTGCCAATGTTATCACTGATAAGGATTTAATCTCCAACATTTACCGGGAACTCATACAACTTAACAAAAGGAAGATAAACAATTCAATCAAAAAATGGGCAATGGACCTAAATAGATAATTTTCAATTTTCGAAAGAAGACAGAAGGAAGGCCAAGAGACATATGAAAGCATGCTCAAGTCACTAATCATTCAAGAGATGCAAATCAAAATGTGGTACCATCTCACACCTGTCAGAATGGCTATCATCAACAAATCAACAAACAATAAGTGCAGGATGTGGAGAAAAAGGAGCCCTCATGCAATGCTGGTGGTAATGCAGACTGGTGCAGTCACTGTGGAATTTCCTCAATTGACTAAAAATGGAGAGCTCCCATTTGACTCAGTAATCCCACTTTTAGGAATATATCCCTAGAAAGTAGAAAGTAGAAACACCAATCAGAAGGGATATAAGCCCCCCTATGTTCATAGCAGCACAATTCACCATAGCTAAGATTTGAAAACAGCTTAAGTGCCCATCAATAGATGAGTGGATTAAAAAGCTGTGGTACATCTATACAATGGAATACTACACTGTGGTAAAAAAAGGAGTTCTTACTATTTGCAACAGCATGAATGGAACTGAAGAGCATTATGCTAAGTGAAACAAGCCAGTCAGAGAAAGATAAATATCACATGATCTCACTCGTATGTAGGATATAATAATCAACATAAACTGTTGAACAAAAATAGATCTAGAGACAAATGGCAGGGAAGGGGGGGCGGGTTAGAGATCAATCAAAGGATTTGTATGCATGCATATTAGCATAAGGAATGGACCCAGACACTGGGGCAGTAGGGGCTTGCCCTTGGGGATGGGAGTGGCAGAGAGGGCAGGGGAGGGAAAAAGACATAGTATCTAATACTTTAATTACTGAACTATTGTTTACATCTATTAGCCTATGGTAAAATTGGTTTCATTATACATTCTTTTGCTTAAAGTCCTAGAACCTTCAACAGCATCAACTGGGGACTTACTATACCAGAGACTATCCTGCAGGGCACAGAATGGCTTCCCCTGGATTTTGTGTAGTTCTCTATCTCAGCAGGAACCTATTTGATATTTAATCAAATTTCTCAACCCTCTGAATAAACATCTTCAAAAGTATTGAGTTACAGAGTTATTTCCCACCTTTTCCCCACCTTTTTCATCTCATGCACACATAAACTACTGAAATTCTGCACATCAAAAAAGTATATATTTTTTGCCAAATCTGACAAAAATATAGTTATATTTTGATTCATTCACACCGGATGGCTTTTGTTGTGTTGACTATTGTCATTTATTTATTTGACAGTGTAACGGAAAAGAGTCAGGTATTTCATGTTTTTAAAATTCTTGTGGCACATTGGTTGAAAAATCCCTGGTTTATAGTTAGGTAAACTTTCCAAGGATACTGATTCTATCCCTGGAAAGGAGACACTTCCCTTACTAGATCCCAAGCTTTGGGTCCTCCTGGGTTTCAAGGTATTCTTTCTATCTCCACCCTTTCCGGAAGGCCTCTGTTTAATAAGGAGTTGATGGTGGAAGAGGCTGAGAGTTACTAATTCATTAATTATTTAAGTCATAATATTCTTTCCCACTCATAAGTTCTGTTTAATTAGGAAAATAGGAAACAAATTATCATTTTATACACCTTACTATCTGAACTTATTAAATGCTGACCTCTATGATTAGGCTCTTAAAAGATTGTCTGATTATGCCTGAGGCTTCTGGTATGAGTTTTGCTATTATATCTGTCATCACATTTCAAATGATTAGAATTGTCAAAAGGATACCAACATAACAAGTATTACCAATAATGTATTGCCACTGATATAAAAATATATTAAGATAAGATACTAAATAATGCTTTTATTCATACTATAATGTATGTTTAGTTTAGTTCTATGGTGTGTTCTCTCTTTCTGTAATTTCTTAATTAGCTAAGCCACATACTTACCCCTCTCCCCACTTAGATTGTTTTAATTATACATTAAATCCAGATGTATAAGTGGATCAGATAAATGTCCGGGATGCAGGACTCTTATGGGGACAATTGAAAGAGAATACAGCTCAGACAGATCATGAAGAGCCTTTGATAAGCTTTCCTCTTCCATCTCATACTGTTGCTTTTTTTCTAAAATGTCTTGGAGATAAGGAGATGCCATTGAAGAACATTACACAGGGGGTGACATAGGATTTATGTTGTAAAGACATCACTCTGGCAGGCCTGGAGAAGATGAATTGAAATGGAATGAAATAGAAGAGGGAGAGACCAGTTAGAAGGCCATTACTATGCTGGGCAAGACACCATGGGCAGAAGCAGAGGCAGTGGCAGTTGGTATAGATGGGCAGAGAGAGATCAAAGCAAGATTAAGGCACAGAATCTTTAAGACTGAAGTGGCTGATTAGATGTGAAGGCAAAGAAGAGTTAGAAGTTAACTGCACATTGATTCTTGCAGCTCTGTGATAAAATATTACAGCCCCCAACAGGCATTGAGTTTAAGTACTTTTTTTTTTTTTGTCTGAGGAAGGAAGATGTACCTATAAAAGAAGAACAGTTATTCCAGCATTTGGTCAGATTGCAGGCCTTCTTTATCCTTAGGAATAAAAAGTTGAGCGTTTCAATCACTCTGTTTCTTTTTTTCTGTTGTTCTACAATCAATATTTTTCCTAACCCAAGTATTAGTTCACAGATCTTATATTTAATGAAGCTGTTTTATTTTACCCATCTCTCATAAGAATTGCACTGATGATGTTTAGTGCTAATTGTATGCAATTTAATTTTCAGATTGTAGTAATCATTATTGCTGCTTTTATTTTCATTCTTTCTTCCCCAGGCTTAGTCAGCTATAGATATTCAACAAAATTATGCCCTTTGGGATGATTTTCAATTTTCTCACTTTGGGAGGTATATTTTTGTCAGTCATGAAGGGTTTGGATTTGGATTATTAAACACTTGAACTCCGAGTTTCCACATTGGACCATTTAACACTCTTATATTTTCTTGCAAATGGAAAACTTTGTCCATCTGTGTGCTATTTGGGTACTTTTGAAGACCTCATCTATTTTAGGCAAGTGGTGTGCCTGTCCTCCAAACCTACATTCTATCTCTGGATGTACAAAAAGGCACGCCACGCAGGAAATGAAGGAGAAGTAGCTTCAGCTTTCATAGGTGCACCCTTGGGCCTTACCTCTGCTCTGCTCCTGGAGAACCATGTACAGAAGGGTTTGGCTTTTCCTAACCACAAGATGTATTTCGACGTGTCTGAGAGTATGTGACCATAGCAGTGTGTTTTCTTGAAAGTGTTGCTGTCACTACTTGGGCCCCCGGAGGGTCAGGGCTTGTTGATGTAATGAGTTTCCTTCATCTCTAACAGCTATTATTCTGAGAAGTGTGGAAGTTGGCTGTTAACAGAGTGAATTGATGTTCCTCTTTGTTTTAACTCTCCAGAAATGCATCTTCTGCCGACACCGGGTTAAGAAGGTCTCTGGAGCCTGCATCCAGTGTTCCTTCGGCCGCTGTCCGGCCTCCTTCCATGTCACGTGTGCTCATGCCGCGGGGGTGCTGATGGAGCCTCATGATTGGCCATACGTGGTGAACATCACGTGCTTTCGACATAAGGGCAACCCAAATGTGGTAAGGCCTGCTCTCCCTTCCCAGGTGCCAAGATGGGTATGAATTCTACTCTGTAATGTTTTTCATTGTTGACATGTCTAGACTTGAGGTGTGGGTTTCTGGAGGGCAGGGATTGTACGATATTATTTACTCATATTTGCCCAGGACCAATCAGTGTCTGGTGCGTGTTACTACACACATATATATTTTTTGAGTTGAATGAATGAATGAATGAATGAACAGATGAGACTCACTATGCCTGTTCTGGTTTTGGATTTGTATACAGGGCTGCTAAATTTGTATACAGATTGTGCACTGCAGTATCCGGGTGAGGGTGAGACCATTTCTAGGACGGAGTGAAGTGAGAGCTCCACCTTAGACTATGTGGTGCTTAATCTCCACAACTGTACACTTTGGCCTTCGGAGTTTATTTCATCTCTTCTAGAAGAAACAAAGAGAGCAACACAGGACAGCGAGAGGGTTGGTCATACACATTGGGGGCCTCGCTGCCTGAGATGGGATAAACTAGGGGAAGCACGAGGCCCTGGGAGGGGGGAGGGCAGTCTCAGAAAAGCAGAAACGTTGACGAGTTTAGAGATCACTTTCTTCTGCCTTGACCATCTCACTCAGGACTGTACCTATTTCTGGCGAAAGAGTGTTTGCAACAAATAGCATGTGAGTTTAACTATAGTTCAGTTTACTTGTCCCAAGTGAGTGGAGTCGTTCCTTTCTTAAATGCTTACAAATGTTACCACAATGTAGAGATAGTTGCTGTGTTCCTATTATCTTTCCAGTTCACCGTAATTGTTTCCGGTTGCCCGTGAGGAGGCTAAAGCAATGTATCAAAGCTCAGGCTTCATTACCTTGCTGCCCTTTGCTATTCCTGGGAGGCTTGGCCACAGACTAGTTGCAGCCTAACGTGCCTGTCTGTGTTTCTAGTAACCTCCTGTGAGCAGCCTGCCAACTCATCGGTATGTGCTTGGGGAGCCATGATCCACACAACAAGTCTCCCAAATTTTCTAATGATTCCAGCAACTTCCATGGGTGTCTTGAGAGTTTCTTAATGTCTGTGGGTTGGAACTTACTCTGTGAGGCTGTGTGTGAATGTGCAAATGTACAAAATGACATCACCAATTATGTCATCCATCTTAAAATTATTTTCCACCTTTTCCCATTGTCTTAGGTATGAAGTAGAATATTTATTTGTGCTTTTCCTTTAGTTCCTTGAGTTCATGGACTCTTGCTAAGAATAGTATTATGTATACAGCAGAAAATACATTCCAGCAAGTTAAAAAATGTTCCAGTGTTACCATATTGCATCACAGTGGTGCTTTGCCATTTATAATGTCCAGTTAGTATCATTACTTCATTAGATGTTATGGGGGGATGCATCTTAAGATGTAAGTGAGGTCATGACCTCTGGAGTCAGAGCGCTTGATGTTCACACCTCGATTTTGCCAGTGGTAACACATGTGCACCTTGTGCAGGTTTCTGTCTGTGCCTCAGCTTCCTCCCATACACACAGAATGGCTGCCTACCTCCCCACGTGCTTTTAGACCACAGCACAGAGGAAGCCCTCAGAAGATGGAAGTGATAACACTGCTTTCTCTTTTTACAATGACCATTACTACTGCTGGCTTCGGCGCTATAATCCTGTGGGAACTGGGATAAGAAACCTAAATTCAAAGATGGCTCAGTTCCTTGCCCAAGGAGATTCAGTTAATGAGCAGCAGGTGCTAGCATGTGAATGCATTCCAGACCTCAAACCTTAAATGGTGGTAGAGGTGTTCATCTGGGCTTGGGATCATACATTGCCATTTTAACATTCCAAAGTTCTGTGGTTACTGATGATTATATAGCCTTCGCTATTAAAGAGATCCAGGTGTTTAATCAGGACCTCATTCCTCTGAAGTATGATGTGTGCGATTCAGTCACATTTATGTTACTAATGTTCCATAAATGATGATGAAAAAGAAAATATTTGATTTTGAGGTGATTTAGAAACTACTCTCTATTCTTCCCTTTGAGCATGGTATGCTTTGTACAGGCAGGGAGAACATCGTGTAATTTATAACATTACATGTGGCAATCTTTTCTTATGAGGGAAGAATTTTAATGTTTCTAAATTGCCTTTGCAAAGTTCTCTAGTGGGAAGCACTTTGAGCACAGGATTTCTGAAAAAATATTCTCGTTAGCTCTTATTTACCCACTATTCTTCAATTAGACTCCAAGCATGGAGTCCTCTCCTAAATGTGTGACAGCAACTCCGGGAGGAGATTGTGATTGCCCCCGGTGCATTCAACGTTCTTTCCTTTTCAAGCATAAAGAAGTCCAAATTCACTCACGTATTTCTCCTTGTGTAAACTGTGAATGCTAGGGCATGTGCTCCCGAGAGTCAGAACTGTGGTTTGTCTATGTTCTCAGCCATGCCTCGGGTATTGGGAGAAATGAGCAATTGCTGAATCATAGCAGTGAGTACTATTAACATCAAGCTAACTTGGCAGCCTACCCCTGTCTTTTTCCAGAATAGAGGATGCTTGTACAATTTGGGTGAAATGAAGTATAAAACTATAGTTATTTCAATAGGATCTCCATTTCCCCCCACTTTGGGTTTTTTGTCTCTCCCCACCCACCCCCCCTTTTTTTTGTTTCTTCCAATTATTTGAATTTTGCATCAAAAAGACCATCTTAAGGCAAATTCTAGTTTTCCTTTAATACCACAAATTATTTTATTTTTTAATATATTTTTTTGTACTTCAGAGAGGAAGGGAGAGGGAGAGAGATAGAAGTATTCATGATGAGAAAAAAATCATTGATTGGCTGCCTCCTGCATGCCCCCTACTGGGGATCGAGCCCACAACCCAGGCATGTGCCCTTAATCGGAATTCTAACCTGGGACTCTTCAGTCTGCAGGCCAAGGCTCTATCCACTGAGCAAAACCAGCTAAGGCACAAATTATTTTAAATATAATGGCTTATTCAATGTTATTGAGCTTTGGGTGTAAAACATAATGTTGCATAATGTTATGAAAATTCGTTTATTAAACAGTAAGCACATTTGGTAAAATATTATTTGAAAAAATAGGTAGTTTTTCATATTCTTAAAGGCAGAAAGAAGTATGTACCAGGAAATTCACAGATAATCCCTTTCATTTTAATCACAGGTCCACCATAGGGATGCACATGTGCAGGAGAGTGATAGGTCTCTCTTGACACAGAGCAGAAGAGATGAGAAGAAGCAGGAAAGTTAGTGAGGAGGTGATGTCCTGTTGCACGTGATAGGAGAAGGGGAACTGGATATCCAAGTGGCCATGTCAGTGGTGAGGAGAAGCCCCTGGGTTCTGGAGACATGTTGGAGGCAGCCTCACAGGCCCTAGTAACTAATCACGTGGGGGTGGGGGAGGGGAGTCTCAAAGACAACCAGATAATGAGAACTCATCACAGGTGAGGGCTGTGTCTGCTTTCAGTGTGGCCGTCTGATGCCAGTGAGCTTGCCGTGTCTTCAAAGGGGGGACCCATCCAGTGCAGCTATGGGGTGATTTCATCCTTTCTTTCCCTTTTTATTTTACCTCCTTTAGTTTGGAGCTCAATCCCCAAACTATGTCCCCTTTTAGTTTCTCTTTCATACCTTTTAGAAAGAGAACCAGAATTTAGCTCACACTCATCTAACAATGATAAGAATGGTGCCATTTCCACAAACTCTCTTCCTGTCTCCAGATCTCGGCTTCTTTGTGTATAGCTGGCAGTGGAATTGTTTTGGTGGTGGTTACTTTTCTTATAATGATTTAGATTTTGCTAACTTCCATTCTGTTTAGTAAAGTTGATCATGACCAACTATTCTCAGATCAGACTTGGTTATATTGATCTGGTATTTGTATATGGGTTGTATCTTTTACATAAGTTATTTTCCAGATACCCTGCTGAATTTGTACTGATATTGAAAAACAGAGAGGATTCTGATCAAAGCAAAGTCTGGGGTAAAAAATTCTTAGCAAGGATTTAAAAAAAATATTATAGTGATTCAGGAGGCCTGAAGCTGATCAATCCTCTTAAATTAAACATACATTTTAAAAAGAGAAGAAATCCTTCACCTTGTTATCAATAGAAGTGGTTTGTTGAGATCTCAATCCATTTGTGCCAGATGATAAAAGGTAAGGCCTGGCTTGCCTGGGAGGAGAATTTTTAGGACAGACATTTTAGAATATTTACATCCAGAACCAGTCTTTCCCTTGCTCACTTTATCAGGTAAAACCAGTAAAGATAATGTTTTTTTAAATTTTATTGAGACCGTTTCAAACTGCTGCACTCTATTTAATATGCCTTGTTTTCCTTTTTTACTCCTCCTCCTGTATTCGTTTCCACAGGAGGCTGGGTCAGGGAGCCTAGAGCTTTTCTCCCCATGCTTCCTGTCAGAAGAACAGGCTTGAGTGGATCCACAGCACAGTCCCGTGCCCTGGGCTCAGCCCCTTTGGGGCCCATTGTTCCTGCCCTTTTAGTCAGTTCATTAGAGAGAACCAGGGAGTTGCACTGCGGGCCATCCTGCCTTCTGTGGGGCCTTGGCTGCACAGTCACAGGGCCTGGCTGCGGGACACGCAGGAGAAGATCCAGGACACTGTCCCAGAAGGTCCCCACAGTAACCTCCCAGACCCAGCCAGAGGCTCTTCAACCTCCTTTGAGGCCTCTTCAGCCACGCCTTCCATCCTTCCCCCTTTTCCAGATTTCTTTCAAAGCCTGGTGTCTTGGTAAGGGTTTGTGCCAGTCCCCATCTGGGCACCATTAATGATGCTACAGTGTTTCAAGAAGTGTTGAATTTGTGGGAAGAGAAAACAGATGCTTCCACTGCAGATTCCAATGTTAATCAGCAAAAGATGCAGAAACTGATCAGAATATGGAGATCTTGCAGAGAGAGCAGAGGCAGAGTGCCCTGGGTGGCCCAGGGTTGGCTGCTGCGGAAGCTGAGTGGAAGCTGTGCTTTGCTACCATACTCTTTCTCTGTATTAGGGGTTTACACCTTCATTCTGG